GGGCCGGGGGGGGTTTGGCCTTGGGCTGCCTCTACTCTCCCCGGGTGTCTTCCCAGGGACTCTCTGCCGTGAGAGGGCCACACGCCCGAACCCCCGGGCTGTTACTCCCGGTGGTTTTGTGCCCACGGGGTTTAGGTGTCAGCAAGGCCATTGCTGCGCGCTGCGCTCGGCAGAGGTGGAGAGGAGGCCAGCGGCTCTTCCCGAGGGACTCAGGTTGTTGGGGAATGGGGCCCGCGGTCAGCACGGCGGTTTGCAAAAGTCAGCGATGTTGTCCCTGTGTTTGATCTGGGCCTTGCGTCAACGTTGTCCCTATGTTTGATCTGGGCCTTGGCAGTTGCCTGGTCTCCAAGTTAATCGGCAAACAGAGGTCAGGGTTCCTGCCTGCGCGGGGGAGAAGGAGCAGTCGCGGGGAGGCGAAAGCAGAGCACGGCCCCGGGCGGGGGACTGTGCGTCCCGAGCGGCAAAATCCCATGCTCTAAGGGTTTTGTGCGTCCTGATAAACCCAGAGGGGGCTCACCAGGTGCGGGAGCCCAACCTGGGAAACAGATGAGCGCATTAACGCACCGACAGCGTCTGTGTGCCAAGCGCGAACGGCTCCCGGCGAAGTTCCAGCCTCATGTCCGTACCCGAAGCGCGGAGGCCTCGAGTCCTTGCGGCCGACATGCAGGCGGGCAAGCTGGGGGGCTGGCAGTCGGCAATATTTTCCCTCTCCCCTTTGCCGTCTTGGCAAGAGGGGAGGGGGCGGTGCGCAGGTTTGCTGCCGGCACGGTGTGGGGTAACCCCGCCGTGGGTGTGGTAGGGGAGAAACAGGGCGCCCCAGCGGGCTTCGTGCGGGCGAAGGGACCGAAGGGCAGCCAAGTCGGCGAGTAAGATTTATTGAGCGCGGGTCAGACCCAAAGGCAGGGCGACCGGGACTCAGCGGGAGGCACTCCGGACATTAAGGGGGAAAGCTGGCCACAAACCCTCAAGCGCCTGTTCCTCCTCCCTCCCCCCCGCCTCCCCCCATCCCATCATGTTCTCGGGGAGCTCGAGGGACCCGCAGGACTCAATGGGCATCTTTGTCCTACAGGCGTGCGGTTTCCCGGACACGTCCCGTCAGCGCCTTGCTGGAGGTCCCTGGGTGGGAGGAAGGCGAAGAGCATGTTGAGCGCCGAGGAGGCTGGCCACATCTCAAGGCCAAGCCGTCACCACACCGAGGAGCTGTTGGGAGGGCCCGCGCCATCTCCAAAAGGTAGGCATTTGCGGGTTTTTTTCGCGAAATACAGCTCAGAAAAAAAAGACCGATCCCGACGGACTCTGCGACGACAACGGCGAACTGGCGAGGATGGCATGGATGGATGGAGACCCTGCTGCGAGCCACGTTATCGTTCCATTTGTGCCATGTTATCGTTCCATTTGTGCCACCTTAGCATTCTTTTTGTAAAGCAGCAGCACAGTACTAAAGCAGCAGAGATCCAAAGACCTTAGCAGAGATGCAAAGGCGGCCAGGAGGGGGAACTGTCCGGGGTGTAGAGCCAGGTTGGATGCCGCCGTTTCGGGAGCAGGGGTGGACAGGAACGCTCGCCGAGAATGGCCCCGCACGCTGGTTGCACCATCGGGGACTGGGAGGCTTTGTCCGTGGGAAAACAGTCTCAAGAGGCCGGGGGGAACAGGATGAGATCCCAATGGGGAAGCTTGTCCCGGAGGGGGAGCCAGGCCAGGCCGGGGGGAACCCTACTCGGTCTTGGCAGCTGGGGGGCCGTTGGGTGCCCCTGAGCCTTTCTCTCGGAGCTTGCGCAAGTAGTCGTGGGGGCCCCTGCCCTCAAAGGCCGTGGGGCTCTTGTAGGAGCCGCCGATCTTGTCCCAGAGGGTGAAATACTGCCCATAGTTGTAGTCGAAGTACAAGTGGTGGTCAGTGTGGTGGGCTGATCCATTGATGACGTGTCGCAGGAGGCAGGGGACACGGTAGTCACCGTCATGAATGGAGATGGTCCAGACGTTGACGAAGATGTAGAGGCCCAAGTAGGTGATTTTGTGGAGGGGAAAGAGGAAGGGGTAGATGTGGTAGGGCAGGCTCTGCATGAAGCCGTCAACAGGGTGGAAGGCGTGGCTGGCAAAGGGCGTCGCGATCTTCCAGAGGTGGTGGGGCTTGTGGAAGCGCTGCGGGGAGAGGGTGCATTGTCAGTCCCCGAGGCGGGGGCCAGTCCCTCGCGGAGGTTCCCCCGGCTGGGGATGGGCTCACCACCCAGGCGCCAAGGCGACCACGGGCCAGCGCTGCCCCCCGACGGGCAGGGG